ATCATCATCATCATCATCATCATCATCATCATCGTCATCATCATCATCATCATCATCATCATCATCATCATCATCATCATCATCATCATCATCATCATCATCATCATCATCATCGTCGACTAAGCCAGAAAATAAACTTGTCAACCGAGCTCTGGAATTAGCGCAATCGCTTTTTGGACCGGATACGACAATTGTTAAAACATTCCAAGCAATTCCAGTTCAAAGCGAGTTTGATCTGGATGATGATTCGGCTGAAATCGCCCGTATGTATAATATTTCCTCAACAATAAAAATACTTTTCATGCTGTCATGGGATAAAAGTTTTGAAAGTGATTGGAAATGGTTAAAAGTCATGGTTCGGAAGTATTTAAAATTCGTCTTTAATTTTAAATACAAGCTTGTCAAGAAATGAAGTTCATGTTAAGATCTGTATCACATAAATGAAAATATTCAAAATATCTTCTAGGATTGGAAGGCAAGGTACAGCAGGGTGGAGAACTAGTGGAAGATGATGAAAATGAAATCAGACAAGGTGGAAATGCAGGTCACAGTGCAGACGCATTTGATGGTTTCAAAAATCGAATTACTTCGCCTACATTCAGCGCTCAAACTTTATTGAATCGTAGTGATTTCACAGCTGTTGAGGTTAACGTTTGCCTTTAATTCTTTAAATTTAATTATTTTTTTATCAATATTCCTCATAGATTTATGCAAATTAAAAAAATCCGTCATTTTTGATTAAATTTAGAAAATTTTCCCTTTATTTTCAAGGGACAAAGAATTCTTTCTGTCCTAACCGTCAAAAAAAAAAAGTTAGAAAAATTGTGAAACGTTCGAAAGCGCGAAATTGGCTGAAAACATATCGTCTCCCAGTCTTTTTTTACTTCTTTCTTTTTCAGTTACAATTGATCCAATTAAAATTTAGACTGTTTCCAGCGTTAAAGGGACTAGGAAGAAGGAATAGAATAGTCAGTACCCCAACTAACTCTATTAATTTTGCTTTTACTTAGAGTTCTGAAAAGTCTTGGCTTGAAGCATTAGCTGCATCTAGCAGAAGAACAAAAATCTGTTTTTGATTAGTTATTCGATGTTTGCGCCGGATGTCTGAACAGTACCATTATCTGGGCAGTACCACTTCTCTGGAAGGAAAGGGGCAAAAGGAAAAAGGAGGCGGAAAAAATGAATTAACGAAAAAAAAAAGATAAAAAGAGGATTGTTATTTATATTCCATGATGATACACTAAAGTTCCAAGCTTGGTTCGACTCCTCATTATTTGGTTTTCTGGTTTATCCATGCTCTTCTCTCGTTATCTTTATCACAGCCATAATCACTTCTATCATTATTATCCATCCATTTCATTTTTACCATCAGGTTTTGAATGCCATTTACCGCAATGCGCCAGTTGGTGGCTCTCGTTTTGTAAAACCCACATCAACTACATTTTCATACATACCACAGAATGATAAATCACGAGCTCAGCTGAAGACTAAAACATGTATGTTATGCACTTCATTTTAATCAGTAATAAAATTTTACAAAAGCTTTAAAAAGGACACTTCAAAATTTTGAAAATTCGTCCTTTCCGAATCAATATTTGAAATTCTAAATAAAACGAAAATTTGAAAATTAGAAAGAAGCAATGGAACAGACATTGATTTTGCAGGTGTAGTATATGTTCCATAGTTAGCTTTGTAAATAATAAATACTAATTTGTGGCGCAATCCTTACTTAACATATTAAACAATTATTTTGATCTTTTTTTAGTATTATATATATCTAGATTTTCGTGTAAACTTTACATTAATTGTAGCTACAACAAGCACGGAATCGGAACAATCGGCACGTGAACGTGATGAGGAGATTCTACAACAACGACAACGTGACCTAATGGATGAGTATTTTCATCAGTCTGGCGATTTACATCATATCAAAGCATCTTTTGGTCGTCAGGGACAACTATGGGCTGACCAAAAATACTACGAATATTATGAATATTTATGCAAAGTAATATTCCTATCCTTCACATTCTCCCTCTTACTTTAAGTTTCCCCTTAAGTATTACTCTTTTTGTTCTAGCACTCACTTTACCGCTTGCCATTTCTTCGTCCTGCTGCTAGAAAGAAAATGAATTGTAAAATGGATTGACTTCAAATCGCATAAGTGTTAGCAGGAAGATCAGAGAAGAAGTTCCAACAAATATTTTAAGAAATTACCAACCACGAATACAGTATGATAGTTGGACAGAACGTGTGCGACAACCAATTTCGTCAATAATTTATTGTAAACGAGATGGTGAATGATAGCAATGATTAAATCTAAAGAGATAAAAAGGAAAAAAATTGGATGAAATGTTGTGATGTAAATCATATGGTATCCAAAAGAAGTAACGAAAAACTTCTGGCTCTTAATGAAATGGCGACAAAGATATTGTATGGTTTCTGTGAAAAAATTTGCGGTAATACCACTTGTGACAAAAGTGGAAACAAAACAATAATAATTTAAGGTGATTAAAGTTTTGGTAAACTATGACAATTTTAGCATTAATTTCTTGGTTTTCTCAGGGCATCAAACGTGCGTTATCCCATCCAGGCTCATTTGATCTAGACTGTGGCGCTGGAAGCGTTCATACTCCATCTAATCAACAAGCTAACGGAATATGGTACTACTTGATAGTTATTAATTTTCAATTTTTCTTACCAAATTCATTTTTTTTTGATTTCCAAAATTAAAGAGTAAATTAAGCCTAGTGGACCAATTTCCAACTAATAATGTTATCCAAATGTGCACTACTAGCATTTCATGCAGTTTACTTTCTGATTAATTTTGTTGGAACATCGCTTGATGTTCGAAGTATATAAATGATTCTGCTATTCACTTTCTTTCAAGTTAGAAAAATGGATCCAAATGAACGATTTCTGCAGGACCAGTAATAGGGAGAAATATGATTGAATTTTTTCTTAAATTCTAGCCGCGCAATGAAATCTAATCTCTATTATCAGTACAGTCCAGGACCTGAAATATATTCCAGAAAAGTATTCGTCGGAGGACTGCCAATCGATATCGATGAAAGTATTCGTTATCGTTATATTCGTGATTATGAAATTTGCAATAATTTGTCAATAATTTATTATTTCAAAATTGAATGAACGGTTTTCAGACGAGCTTACGGCCACTTTCAGTCGTTTCGGTCCTTTGGTTGTGGATTGGCCAAACAAAGGTGAAAATAAAAGCTACTTCCCCCCCAAAGGTATTTAATTCTTAATAATTTGACCTCATAGTTATCAGCTATCATTAGCATTCTTCGACCAGCTTATATCTGCGTAAATCGATATGATACGGTACATTACATGGGCAAAGCGTTGAGACATTTCTTATTATTCTACTGTAATTTAATAACTTTACTTGAAATTAGATTTGATCGTTAATGATTCAACTGATTTATCACTTGCTTCATTTTTAACATTTCATAGCAATGATGTAAGAATGATGCCCTATTTCAGGCTACGTATTTCTTATCTTCGAATATGAGGTTAGTGTACGCGCATTGGTGCAATCTTGCTTTGTGGAGGATGAAAAACTCTTTCTGTACATTTCAAGCCCGCTATCACCTGATAAACTGGTTAGATAAGTTTATTTCTGAATGTTTGATGAGTTCAATTTGACTTTTTGTTTCTGACTTTACGAGGTAATCTTCCCGTTTGTTTATCACTAATTTGTTTCCAAACAAATTGTAATTTTTGATGTGACATATCAATCCAGTCACTCTTTCTTGGTATTAAAGGTTTTATCAAAATCAGCATTAGTCCAATTTTCGTTTAACACTTTTTTCATCCTTCAGGTACAAATTCGACCTTGGCGCCTTGCAGATGCGGATTATGTCGTTGAAGCCAGCATTCCGTTATACGCTCGACGGGCTATCTTTGTCGGTGGAGTACCAAGACCTATTAAAGCAGGTTAATTGAAGCTGTTTTTCTGAATAACAGTGTCGTGGCAGGTAATTTTGAAAAAATTCATTCCAGTGGAACTGGCACATATAATGGATCGCCTTTATGGGAGTGTTGGCTGTGCAGGTATCGATACCGATGTTGAATATAAATATCCGAAAGGTGAATCATTCAGTCATTCGTTTCTTAGTATCGGTTATTCTAGTAGAATTATCAAGTATCACGTCATTCTAATGCATTATATGAAAGTTTGAAAGGCTTTGGAATGCATATCTCTCACTGAAAATCAAAGCAACAAATATAACAAAGCGCTTTTTGCAGGTGCTGGGCGCATAGCGTTTACCAATCAAAATTCATACATGAAAGCAATTACCGATCGTTATGTGCAGTTGAGCCATGGTGAAGTGGAGAAACGAGTAAGCATAATTGGTTATGCATTAAGATTGGGCTAAATAACCCCTTAGAAAGTAAATGAAAGGTTTTGAAGGTTGAACTGAAGCCATATGTACTGGATGATCAGCCATGCGATGAATGCGGTGGCGAACGTTGTGGACATCGACATGCGCCCTTCTTCTGTCCACAACTTTCCTGCTTGCAGTATTATTGTGAGAAATGTTGGACTACGATACATGGATGTCGTGCACGCGAAGATCACAAGCCATTAGTTAAAGAAGCTTAGGGCTGTCCATTCATCTCATTTGGATTTCTTTGCAATTTATTCTATTTAACATTTAACAGTTTTTGTTTTGTGCTCATATAATACTTTGTAACTTAATTTGAAAATAGTGAAATGTTATAGAAGCTATGCACAAAGCTGTTCGAGAACAATTGTTGAACAATTTTCAGAAAAATTTTCAAGAACAATTGAACATTTGCTCGAGAACAACAGTTGTTCGAGAACAATTTCGAGAACAACAATTGTTCTCTTCAACTGTAAGATGCAAGAGGAAGTATAACCTATCAACAAATCAGCTAATTTTAAAATATTGTTTCAATTGAGAAATATGTTTATTGTTGTGCAAATATAATAAGTGTGAATAACTATTTGTCAGAACAACTCCATTTTAGCCTTTTGTTTGTACCATTTCAGCCCTTACTACTCATTTATATCTTCCTCTTAAATAAATAATCTCAGACGAGTTTCACTTCTACCGAACACAAGGTAATCACAAAATATGAATAGCTTCTGGAAGTTTTCATGGAATTTCGATTAGATTCTCAAATTTCTCAAGACAAGATTTCGGAGTACTATAAAGGAGTAGTACTAGAAGATATAAGTAACACCTTATCAGCATAAAGAAAGTCCCGGAGAGATGCATATTGTTCGCTGTGGAACTGGAGATGACATCAGCTATTATGTAATTGCGAGTGACCGGACCACTCTCCTGCTCTTTGAACCTTGGAGCACCGACACGCATCAATGCATTTGCAGGTTTGACAACGTTGCATGTATCACTAGTGCAGAAACAATACCGCTTTTGCAGTGGATGTGCAGGTGTAGTTTTTAACAAAATATTTGATGATAGCAACCGTTAGATCAGATCCTGCTGGATAGGAGAACCAACGATGAACAACCATGTGACATGCCTACAAATGAATATGGGTTATGTTTGATTCCGCTAAACTTAACCTTTATTTATTGCTGTACAATGAATTTCACTGCATAATTACTCCAATTTACCAAATAATTCAAGTAATTCTTAGCATTTAGGTTGGATAGGTCGAAACGGTACTTTGAAATACTTCCGTATCAGATTTACTTCGTAATATTTATTATTGAAGCATAAAAACTAAGCATTTAAATTATCTTTTCTTGCAGAAATTTGTTCATCGTGGATAGTAACTGTTGTTATTTGGAAACAAGTACCGAACGGTAGAAGTTCTTCGGTCTTGATATCAAACGTAGTAACATTTAACGTATAGTAGGGATCGCGACACATTTGGATCCTGGCACTTCTTTCTGATTCGCATCTCGGTTGTCTTTCATTTCCTCTGATGTCGTCTTGAAGAATTCTTGGATTGATGAAAAATGTGCCATAATGCTGCAATTCATTCAGATTACTTTCTCATTTCATTAGAGGCTTTGCAATGAATAAACAGCTCAGTAAGTTGGTACATCAAAAGAGCTAAATGAACCTTACTTGTAAACCTTATTTGTAAAAATTTTGTAAAACTCTACTCATTCTTGTCCGCTCTACCGATACACCCAGTCTTGCTTAATGTACTTACTAATCTGTGACCTATTGTCTTGCATGCATTTACATCTCCAATAAAAATAAGATGCAGTAATGTTTTGTATTCCATTATTCCGCTAATTTTCACTTCCCCGCCAAATTACTAGAAGATACTGTAAAGGTCTTTTGAATTAGATACTGAAATAGTCATTCTACCCTGCAACATATTATTTTCTACAGTTTGAATGTCAGAACGCTTGAATTTAGGAAAGGAATAATACCTACCACTTCGATGTTTGGATCTGAGCATTGATAACAAAGATTTTTCGTAGCACATAGCATGATGCGTTTAGAAGTATCAGAGGAAATCGATCACAACAACGATATGTTCCACTCATTTATCGAATCGGTTCAGTCTAATCATTTATTTCGGATATAAATAAAATATAAACAAGCGCAGATTGATAAAATTAAGATAATCGTAGCAAATTGCAAGAGAGAGAAAGACAGGCAAATGAATTCAAAGTGAACACCGTAAGTTTTCCATTGAAATCAAAAAACTTCTCTACTATTTTTATTGTGATATATCAACTGAAACATTCTCGAGAAATATCGAAATTAATCAGTGTCAATAATACAATTGTATCTAGTTTTAGGATTAATATTTAGTCATTCATACATTTAGCAAATCTATCAAAATGCATTCTGATTTAAGCAACCAAACAATTAATGAAAATTGGATAAACAATATTATCTAAAACATTGAATCAACAAGAAGAGGATATTTCGAAAGAAGTCTCTAGATCGTGAGGCAGTAACCTCACGTTTAAATTTAAATTCAAAAAAACCTAAAGACTTTAAAAAATCCAGAAAATCCACTAATCCGCTTCAAACTTTCGAAATAAATATATAAATTTGAAATCATTGAAGTTTCATAGAAAAATAAGCTATTTCATATCGTAGTTAAACTAATTGTAAACAAAATTATATGGTAAAGCAGCAATTGGAAAAGGATGAACCATATCATTTTTAATAATTATAACTTTTGCAAGGATCAATTATCGATGATAAAAAGTAATGGGAAAGTACGACAGAGATGGCAATAATTTTTGTTGAAAATTTTGAAGAAAGATTCTGAAGAGGTAATTAATTCACTGCCTTGCTATATAATATCAACATGGCTGTGAGCATTTTTTGGATTTTTGATTTTCCCATCTGAGAGGAAAAAGTGATAATTCTTAGACGTGATTTGAGATGACAGCCAAGTAATGCATTCTATAAGATCTAAATGGAACATACATAGATGTAAATATCAAGTAATCCTTTCTTACAGAATTGTCGCCAGCCTCATTTACCTTCTTTCTCCCTCCCCCCTACTGTGTCCTTTGCAAGGTCATCTCATTGCAGATCATCCTTATTTAAGAAGTAATATGCCATTATTGGAATAACAATAATAAAAAAATTCAAACAAAGAATTATGTAAACAAAAGAGGATTATCATTTATGCACAGTGAGACATGAAAATAAACGAGATGTAATGAGACAAATAGTGTGTAAGTTAAAGTCATGTTTTATTCATTTAATAATAATGATGAAGTTAAAAACACTTTTACTCATTTAATAATTCTGTAATGAATGCCTATCATTTACTTTACTGAAACCTTTCCTCTGACTTAATTAAATTATTCGTAGTTAAATTGTGAGTATCGTTAAATTATTGATAGCATTTGTAGTTGAGTCCAACCAGTTAATTCTGTTTTAAATTCAAACTTGAAGTATATCGCTTTAGAAAAATTAAAACAGTGAATGCAAAGCTTTGAGCACAAATGTAGCCTAAAATGTTAATGAATGCACATATAATTTGAATTTCCCACGAAAAAGCGATTGAATGATGAAGTTTGGAATGAGAGCGAAGTATTGCTGTTAAATGAAGTACGCACTTGAACCATTTAAGAAATAATCCAGAACATTCAATAATATCAAGCTGAAGTATTTGAAATGGTTTTGAATTGCTAATAGCCTGAGAATTTTCTCGACACTTGGAAGATTAACTTTTATTCATGTAATAAATCGTTACTTTCAGTAACCTAGTTGACTACAACAGATTTCGAATTAATTAATGAGATTTATTTAATGCTAATTCAAAAAAAAAGATATAGAAATGAAGGAGCGGATAATTTCGTTATTACCACTGTTTCACATTTCGCCGTGATACTCTGATTAAACAGACTTTCGAACTACCCGATAACCTAGGTGCAAAAGAATAACTTTATTTGCTTTCCTTCGTATTCTCGGCATTATAAAAATGTTCAAAAATGGTTTTCAGAATTTTAGAAATCTGAATAAAATATAATTCAAACTTTGAAAGATTTCACAGGACCAAACTTTTCCGAAATAAATTTAAATTTCAAAAGTAAGATTAAGAATTTAAATTTTGTTGACTCCAATGACTCTAATAGGACTTTTCATCTTAAAAAAGATGACTACTTCGTGGAAAAGCCGATAACTCTTTTTAATTGTATCGAAGGAGACTTTCTCAAAGAGATTTAAACTCTTTGAGCTGATAAATAGAGAACAGATATGCAAAAAGTTTTCGACCGATTAGCATTTTTCGGAATATTTTCCGGACAGAATCATTTCTCATTGTATATTTGGAAGAAGCTAACAACATACTGTTGGAATTATAGATTAAATTAAGATTAAATATGTTGAGAACAGAAAGGAAGAGTGTTCAAAATTTCAGAAATAACGGTTAAATTACTAAAAGAAATCAAAGATTACTAAATAATAACTTGCCGCATTTCGTGAATCACTTCAAAGAAGGCTATTTCAAGAATGAGAAATTAGCACAACTGATTTTATATTTTTATAGTTTGCTCAGAAAAATTCAAAATTGTGGACAGGACAAAAAGAAGCGAATTGTGCAATAAAAAAAGTCTTGGGCAATTGAACAAGGCGAGTAAAAGTCCTGGACAATTAAACAGGACAACTAAAGGCCGGGGACAATTCGACAAGGCGACTATATTCAACAGTATAGCTTTCAATAGCATTGTAAAAAGACTTTTTGCAATAAGAAGAGAAAAATAAGTTTGGCACTTAGTGGAATAAAAATAAGCAAGTGAATTATGATACTATCGATTGCAGTGCTTTAATAGAAAACCTGCTAGGAATTTATGGAGTGCGCAGTACTAACAAGTAAACAAGACATTTCATTAGATCCTAATCCTATCATTATTATATTTGCTAATGATAATAATGATGGCTAATGATTTGCTAATGATGACAATGATAGCACACTTAGCATTAGAAATATAATAATATTTATGCGTTTGGTGCAAATTTTATTTATATCTTTAGCATTTCTTGTTGCTCTGTTTCATTTTTTGGCTCTTTCCCTAATTGATTAAACCAATTAATTCTCTGATTACCAATTATCTGATAAATGAATCATAAAAGGAAAGATTTAACGGCTATCACTCAGAGTCTCTTTCACGAAGTTCAAATGCATTTATGGTGCAATTGTACCACGTCAAATAGCATTAAGAATTACATAATTTAAGTGAATATGTGAAATCTCTCCTGTATTGCTATATTTTTCATGCTCTTTTTATTACTTCATCCTTCTATAAAGGAGGAAATAAAAGTAAAATAGTGAGAGTATGGTTTCAAGTTTTTTGCATTCCCTGTTATTGTTATTACTGTAAAGTTCAATTCATGCTTGTTTATATTTCTATCTTTTTCGTTACTGTCTTTAAGCGGTTTTTTTTTCTTTTCAAACAATTCCTTTTGTTTTTTTGTTGCTCGATTTGCATTAAATGAAGTTATCAATCAGGTAAAGTAAATTAAGCAAGGTCGTTCTACTCCTGCTCAAGTTATTGAATGCCGATTTAATGATTGGACATTGGATGTTGCAATGACACTCATTTCAAAGTTAAAAAAAAGGATTCATGTAATTGCACCAAACATCCTTTTAGTAAATTACGAATTTAAGTTTTGATGAATTTTGATTAATCGATTTAATTTTCATTTTTCACAATAAGCTTTCCCTCTCAATTGCCGAACTTGTCGCCCTTGAATTCCGATATTTTTGTGAATAAGTTTTTCACCTTTTTAATTCCTTATTTCTCTTTCAGTATCCTAATTTTAAACCAAAAATTTTTCGGGAGCTTGTGCGGTGGTAATTTTTTGATTAAAATCAGATACTGTTCCGACATACATACTTCATTTGAAAATTTAATCGAAAATGATGAATCATGTTACGTTGCTTTTCAAGGACGGAATGAACCAAAATTAGAACTTACAATGCATATTTCAATCAGTGCTGCATCCCAGTTAATTTGAATTGAAAATTGAATTGATTTTTATCTTTCAAAAATTAAATTCTTTATTCATATAACAAAATTATTCAAATAATTTCCTCCGAAAGAATTAAGCAATACTCTCGACAAGAACAATTATTTCCACTAGCAATTTAAGCATCATGCTATCGCTATGCCATCTAAAAGGTCTTACTTCAAACTTTTATATTCTAAGATTCAACCCTAAATTAGGTCGATTTATCCGCTCGGTGCTATATGCAAGTAAACACACTGTCTATCAATGATTCTACAGTCTGCTTGCTTATCAATAGTTCAAATCAATGCACCTCTAATGACAACCTATTGATGAAGACGATCAAAGATAGCTACACAAATAACAAAGTTCACGAAGCGTTCCCATGGAATTACTCTACGACAATTTCAAACTCTTGTCGCCCGATTTTGTCAATTTCAACAAAACCGCAACTGTCTAATGAAAATTTTGATATCCAAGGAGTAAATTAGGGGCAATTTCCAAGGTTTTCAGCAGAAATTAAAATTACTACACTGGAAATCAGAACTCCCCACCTATTTTCCACCAACAACGTCCTCTTCCTGCACCATCTTCCACCTTACGCATTGCGGACTACTGCTACTATCACCGCTATTACCGCCTAGCCATATTAACCTGCTCTAGAATGTCAATCATTTGAGCTGCATAGTGGAACTATGAAATGAGAACAAGTGATTGTTCTGCCAGATTTCCTCCAAATTCAATTTGCGCATTTTGTTCCATTTGCTCATTGTTTGAAGATTCGAAACCAAAATCACCATAAATGCAGGAAGTCTTCCGATGACGCCCTGCCAAACATCGGATAGCGATCTAAAATCTTGATTGTCCCCCCATTACACATTCCCCAGAATCTACATGCAATTTCAATATTTGAACTCAAACCCGTGCCTTGATTTAAAGTCTCACCTTTTTCCTTGAACCATTTATCCCTTTAAGAATTCTCAACGTCACATTTTCTAAATCATCCATGTTGAATACTGTAATCCTTCCACAAACTGCTAAAGATCATGATGCTGTCAAAGATACAAATTATTCACCTATTATTACGATTAGAAAACAACAAAATTTTCAAAACTTGCTGGAACACATTCCTTTTTAAGCAATTCAACAACATATTTTATTTTCAATTTTCAACAATAACAGAACAACCAATGAAATAGTAGGAAAACGAAAGAACCAAAACATGAATTTTACAAAGAAAAAGGAATGAAAAAAACCGGAAAAAACGGAAACTGAAAAAAGAAGATGAGAAATGGAAAATATTGTTGCGAAAATTGACACGAATTCAAGCGAAAAAGGAACTAATAAGACAACATGATGAGTGATTCCGGATCTTATTTCTTTTTTTTTCAGGAAAGGCACTAAGCATATCAAACAAAAGCAATGCAAAAGGAGCAAGATTAAGTAACTAGATACAACTATGCAAATGTTTGCAACGCATACCTAGCGAATACTACTATAAAACACTGGATGACTTTGGTGAAAGCGAACTTCAAAAACTGCTTTGATGACAAAAAAGTCCAAATTAATGAAAAATGTGTAAAAATGGTTTTTATTGCATTTCTTAAAAAGAACAAGAGAGACAAAAGAAAAGTTCGTAATAAACATACAATTAAGCCATGCATTGACAGAATGGAATAGCCAGAGATCGTGTTTGGATATGTTCATAGCTTAAATTTAAATTAAGTCATAAAATGCCTGTGAAGCAGCAAATTTGAAAACTAAAACTTGTGAGGAATTAAACTAATGTTCTCTGATATCAACTTCTCGTTCGTACTCAGTAGGTTTCCGAATCTTTCTCTTTTTGCTTTCCCTCTTGTTCCAGACAAAAATGAAAACTATATACAGGCACTTCATGCACAATATTCAGTTGTAGGACAGTAATTAATAAGTGAATTCGGACTCACTCTCTTTCTACCCATGAAAAATATCATCACTGATTCGAAATGTCCCTGAAAAAGATTTTTAAAGAATAAATGAACATTTAGGTATCATAAAACGTAAAAAAGTGATTTTCTTCATCCTATCCTCTAGTTCTATAACCCTTCTAGATACACCATCTTTTTTGAAGACATAACAAATCAACCGAAGCCTGAGATCTTTGCCGTTAATTAACTCTTTCTTCAGTTCCTTATATCAACGAAAGCAGTGTCCACAAAAAACAGTTGCGTCATCAGCGTCTCTTATCGGTTCAAACAGAGTTACATCATTATGGGCTTTCTTCATCATCATTTACTGGGACTTACCAGCGAACTTCACTTTTTAAACTTGCCCCGAGGAAATCTACACAAAGCTTTAATATGATTCTCCTCTGTTTCGCTCATCCTAAATGATCTGAGTTTTAACTTCGTTTTTAAATCATTTAAGTGCTATCGTTTTTGTAAGCATAAAAAATTTCCTAGTGATCTCATATTTTGCTATTTAAGTTACAGTCTGCAAAACATGACAAACGGTCTAATACCACAAACTAATTCAGTTCTTATTAAACGACGGTCAATTCTAAAGAAGAGATGTCCCACTCAATAAGATCAACATACTACTCACAAACCAAAAAAATTCACCTGATATCATTATATGAGACTACCGTCTTATGGTAACATGTCATCATAAAATTAAACACCGATAAGATATGCAATATTGCACAATTGTTATTCGTGAATTACATTTTTTGGTAATATTCTACAAGATATTGCCAATAATTCTGCCCTCTCCTCTTATCATAAGATTCTCCGTTTACTGAAAATTAAGGAACGATATTATGAGGCAGCAGAGAATAATTAACTTCCACAACTTCCTTAACTTTCACACTTTGGAATTGACGCATTCTACGTGGTAAATTTAACACAAGTAAACAGATTCCTGCATGGTAAAATTATTCGCTTACACATACATATGCTAAACATTCCCAAGAATCTTTTCAAATTCACTTCTGACATTTTCCTGGTACTTTATATCGCTGTAACACAACCACTTGAAAAAGCTGCATAGCTTATTCCGAAACATCTACTATCATGACAGCTTGCCGACAAAGCAGCCGACCAAAGCGTGTCGGCAAATCGCTTTCATCCTTCTACATCCATTATTTTGAAAATCCGGTAAAAGTAACCAGACAGCCTTGAACTGTCTAACAAAGCAATCAAGCAAATGTCGGCACCTCTAGTAACCAACTGTCAGGAACATCGACAGATGAGCAGTTACCACCCCAGCAGTACATCTCATTCATTCAACAATCAATTACCCGATATTAGATATCAGCACTAATTAACAATTATTTCCAGCAAATTTTCAGTTCAACAATTAAATATGCATATAAACAAGTTCACCAAACACCCTTGATATCATGGCATCTGCAGAGTCTAGAAGACAGAGCGGCCTGGTTCTGTCCCTTCATTACCACTTCATTCCCCTTCGTTCTCTTCTGACCCACATTTTAATGAATTATTGAATAAAAGATTGTTGGAAGTTCCAAATTTCCGTTAAATCTAATCAAAGTCTAACACTTTAATCTGTGACTGAAATATTTTATTTTGATACAAGCAGAAATGAGATGAGAAATCAATAGTTTTTTTGCCGCTTTTAATAGATAACCCATCACACTGCGCAAATCCGAACAGGGTAGGATCTAAACGGTAGAAAATCTTTTTTTGAACTCGCAGTAGTTGCCAAGAATACACAATACAGATAGAGCATTATATTGGGGAAATGAAGCATACGCTTCCCTCTAATGCTACCATTCACATGCTTGTAGATAATCTTTCTTTTTTCTGGAAAAAAACCAAACTTCAACAATGGTTTCCAAAACCTCTCATCCTGGACAGTAGATACATATTAGTTTAGTACTTTACTCAATCTCAAATACAATTCAAATCTTGAGAACATAATTGCATGTTTCAGCTGTCACATCATGTCACCAAAGACTTCCTCCTTTTTCCATTTCTTCCCCTGGTCAATTACACAATGAATCATTGCAAAAAAAAAAAAAATTTTTCTCCATAATTCATGAGAAATAATTTTACCATAGATTGCAGTGACTACAATGGCAATATAAACATTATGATCATTTGATCAGTACTTGACAAGTGGAGTTTTACTACTAATGTATAAGTCTTAAATAGCAGTAAGCAGGGATGGTCATGACTACTAACACCAACATTATTATCGATATTACTGCCTTTATCTTTACCATTATTAAACCCGATATTTCATTATTCTTTTACCAATGCGGTCATTATTGCACTAATCAGTGACACTAATTCAAGTTTTTGAATATGACTAAATGAACGACGTGGGAATACAAAAGTTAATGACAAGCCCCAATATTGCACATATTTCAGGTACTCCTTTCTATTTTGATTCTTGAAAAAAGTTTCCTAATAAAATTAACCATAAAGTTCCGCGAAAGCATGAAGTTAATCTTCAATAAAAATTCTCTCGTCACTCCTTCACCACCAATTTTTTTTATCCAATGGATTCGAAAACAAGTCGATGCCTTTTCTTAAAATTAGTTCTCAAATAATGCATCAAATAAATGGGCAGGAAATGTGATGTGCAAATGTTACAAATCCATTTCACAAATACATGCATCTGCTAAGCATCTACTGCAATTAACTGTTCCCGGAATTTAGGTTCCTACAGCGATTAACGAATCCTACTGCTAGTTCGCTGGCCATTTACGAAGAAACGATTTCGAAATTTTGAAATTTCGATAACAGCAAGAGTATCAGCAGCACTATTAGTACCATAAATAATAGTAGCAACACATAACACTTATTGTACCATCTGTCGTACTACATTGCATGACCTGTTTCGTGATATCAAGGTGACAACAGCAGGCTATCATTACGATCATGATTTATGGAACTACTCTTCATCCTTTTTCTACCTGCATAAAAACTCATATTTCCCTAAATGAATGCATGATTAAGGGGATAAATTTAAAAAAAAACGTCTAGAAAGTTGGGTAAACATCTTCCCTACTTGATGATATGGATTAAATTTGAACATTGCTTGATTTCATGCGCAATTAACCAAATTTCCATTCAATTTCCAATTTCTTAAAATCGCCGGTTAATACCTGAATTTGATTTAATTATACACTTGACAAAGCCCAGGATTTCGTGCTAAATATATTAGAAGGAACTACATCACCTGTGAAAGACATATCTTGAAATTATACATAGCACCCGGATACCTACCCATATGCAAACGATCACAATGTTCATGATCTGAAAATGAGAAATTGTGACCATAAGTTTTTTTAATGCATGAAATTTATGCTGCCTTCCATGATAGAACCTTTCAAATTCAAATGGTAGAATCTGGTCAGAGGGTCCATCTGTTGGCTTTTACAGTTATCTTCCGCACTATTTTACTTCCAAGTCAAATGCTCTCCTCTAACTGCAACTTATTGTATGTCTCTCTCCGTCATATAGTCGCTGAACTTTCACTGAATTACCCATCAGGTAAACATAACCAAATTACTCAAATCGCATCTATCAGCATAGTTTCTCTCCGTCTCCACTCCAAAAAAAAATGAAAGAATAAGGATTATAAAAGTCCTAATTACATATAATTTGGAAGTGCCATCGGCAGGTGATCTGATAGTAAACAAAAGGAAATTATAGTCTCCTTCGAAAGAACTTGAATAATTTAAATGCCAGAAAAAATTTTAACAAAGGTATGTTTTGCATAAAACAAATCCTTTTATTTACCACAGAATCTATTAAATCAAATGGAATGCATTGTTACTTGATTTGGAAATAATCTGCCTATTATAGACTAATTATTGAAGAATTTTTTGACGTTAAAAACATTAGTTGACTTATATGAGTATCATTATTTTTATTTTTACTGATGGCTTGTCTGTTGAATGTCCTATCCGTTAGCATTAAGTATTGAAATACAAAATACGAATTAATGCCGAAAACATTATTCACCATCGCAGATAGCTGATGTCATTAATCAAAAAACCAGCTGCCCAAACACAAATTATCATATAATTACCAAAATTAGGTATAAATCAAAGCAAAAAAATACTACAAGTTTTAAGTAACGCCATCGACCTTTCGCCCTTAGTTCTAACTTATTTTAATCAAATTTTTAACTTACTTCCCTAACTAAAAAAGTTTTTAATCTATTTTAATTAATCGACCGTTAACTAACGTCACTAACTTCTCGAATTTCATTTGAAAGAAGCATGTAATCAACTTGAAATGAAAGAGATACAAAAAGCTACTATTAATTTACCAAACAAAAAATTTTCAAAAAGTTATTGTTAAAACAGCTATTTCCCTTATTTTTTTAATTAAAGGGAAAAAACAACGATTTTGTGTCTCTTTCATTTTTGGTAACAAGATAAAAAAAAAAATTATATAGTAGGATCGCCAGAGAATTAACAAATCGGTTTCACCCTGCCTTAACCCAGTCGCAATACAGTAAATTATGAAACGAACTCTTAAACAAACACCAAAAATATAATGTCTAGTCATGCCTCTAAAATTTATTTTAAGTGCGTTTTACTTAAATTGCAATATTTCCATATCCCGTAAAACCAGAACGCAAAATTATAAAAACAATGGATGAATGAGAAACATCTTCACACCTCCTTCTTTTGGAAGAAAGAAATGTACTGAATTTTGGTAAAAATATAAGATCAAAGCAGGTCTGTTCTCTAGGAAAAAAAATTGCCATGTAAGTAGCTGTTCCTTTCTCATACTTATTTTGTTTCAAGCGCAAAACAAAGAAATACCGTCCAGCTTGCCACCCACTTGGTTTTTTTCACCACAACAAGTCCGATTCCCCTTATGTTCCCTTCCCAACATATATACATATATCCTGTCTTGTTCTACCAAATTCTTTAAGCAAACTAGAAGTTCAGCTCGCTCTCGAAAAAAAATATGAAAAAGATATAACAATGACAGGAATAGATTGCACTTCTCCCTTACAATAATAAAGTACAAAAGCGACGAAAATTTCAAAACACCTGGGCAAAGTAATAATTTTGAAAAACTTACATTAAAATGCAGAGCGTAGGCTTCTCGAGGATGGATCTTCACATCTTCGACTCTGCCAACGAGTTTTAACACCTGAAAGAGTGACAAGAAGTTACCCTAAACATACTCAAAAGTGATAATTTTTGACTATTGGAAAAAGATGCTCCATTCGAGCAAAAAGTGCTCGGTGTCCTTGATTTTCTTTTTTCTTTTGAAAGAAAAGGAAACCAGCCTTATGCATGACTGGATAAATGAAAGTGGCCATTTGGATAAGAAACTTTATGTCTCTGCTTAAATACGGCATAAAGAACTTTTACTAATATGCAAGGATTACTTGCTAGTCGTACAGCAACATCATGCAGTCCTCCTCGCGACAATAATCTGGACCAGTAGAGATCCCTGTTCATTTATTCTCTAATTACTTTTAGACATAAAATAGAAAAACATAGCACCAGAATTGCTGGAGTTGAGCGCTTTGGTGCCCAAACAATCCATTTCTACATGAACATCATCAAGCAACTTCGACGACTCACTACATTCCGATCGAGTAAGCGAACGCCGTTTCCTCACAACTGGTAAGTAATCTGAAAGTTTTTGGAATTTCACTCATATTCCATAAATACTGTTAGTGATGAAATATCTAAAAGCCGATAAATTTCATCAAATTTAAAAACTGAAAAAAAAGAAATCAGACATCATAAAAGTACAGATATATATTATGAGAGGTGAAATTCCAGAAATTTCAGTCGTTCCCTCAATCAGAAAGTGTCAAAATACACATTTCCTCATCACCCCTAATCCTCCTCTCTATCCCAGCACATCCTCCTTACCCAAGTCACTTCTTTATAAATCTACACAATATACACCAGTGAAAAAGACAAAAAATACTGCATTAGAGAGAACAATCAGATAAGGGAAAAATCGTCAGCTGTCAACAGTACTAATTTTTTGAATATATTTTCAAAATAGCGTCATACTGCAATGTTCGCATTGCCCTTTTTTTTGTCGCTCTCTTTACTTTGCATAATTTGCTTCTTGTATAGCTATCCCAGAACCATTAACCACTTGTTATGGACAACAGGAACAGTGCGGTTCATTCAAACAGTAAAAAAAAGATGTTTAGAAGTTCCAACACTGCTCTATTTCAAAATTCCACTTTAAATTTTTTTTCGGATATTACCTATTTGCAGTAAATTTCAAAAGATGAGGACGGGAAGTATGAACTGATAAGACAAAGCCATGTTTATAAACAGATTGTAAACAGTATCTTTTATCCAGTTGTACATAGTTTGTTACGTATGAAGCAGAAAAGCTATGCGAAATAGTGGTTAGAGAACGAGGGGGATGAAAGAACAGAATGACAAGATCAAAAGCCCACAAGGTACCAAAAAGAAATACAAAAATTAAAATTATATTTTCTTTAGCTCATCTTTTCCGGAAAGACTTTATTTACAGAATACTCTTCCCAATCGAATCAGCAAGCACTCTCATGGGAGAGCGGTGTTCTAATTTATATCAACCCTTAATAAGGACGAGTAATACAGATCTTCATTTGTCATCTTAATAAAGCTGGTTAATGTGAGTTTTAAAGTGTATCTTCCAAAAAGACTTAGAAATAATAAGTAGGGAATTAATTCGAATTATTTACAAGCTCCGAAATGAAGTTTGGGAAGATGTTCGGATGGTCCAACATTAAAAAGCCTAGTTTAGCAATCATACTTTTTTGGAAAAGAGTTAATAGTGATTCCATTCGGGAAAATAATTCATTTGTATTATTTATTCCCCCTTAGTGATCCTCATCCTACTTATTCGGATTATTCTTCTATTCTTGTTCCATCTAATCCCTTACCCTATTTCGTTTGTCATGACCTGAGTTCGGGAAATGCATCCAGTCCCTTAAATCGTATCAAATGAACGTGATTTTGACAAACAACTGCTCACGTCAAAGTATACATAGGTGCTCATTGTCAAAACATTTGTCATAAGGAACAGTTTGCTGTAGATGGATATGGTTGCACAACCTATTTAAGCGGTATCATTATTAAGACAGAAAAGAGGAGAGATGTAATAAAACAGGGATGCAGTCATTTATCAAACTGTTACATCGTAGTTTAAATGCTGATATTTGCAAGTAGGAAACCATTATCATAAACGAGAACAGGTGCTAGCACCTGTTTACATTAGTTATTTTTATTGGGAAAAGCTATTAATTTTTTTAGTAAATTCTTCTTGAACTCTGACCTCCAGCGAGATTTTTACGTTCTCAAGAAGGGATTTCCCAGAAAAATTTGATTTGTAATCCTTTCAAATCTAAGAATGAAGCTAACCTAATGTAAAAACATAAGGTTGGGGATTTGTAAGTGCAAAAGAGAAAAGCTTACTGGTCAATAGAGATTGCTTCATCGATTTTTTTCGTAAAGCAGATTTTCGTGAAATCTTGCGAACACCACGTGTTTTTATTATTTGTGGTCGCTGGATTTTGGTACTACCTCGAGACTGCGAAGCGACTTTGACACGACCTTTCGAAAGCTTCGGAACAGTCAAGTTCTAAAGAAAAGTCACGAAGTTGCTTAAATAATTGAATTAAAAACAGAAAGAGATGTTAAGATTCGTAATTTCCGTTTACCACAACTTGTTCTATCGAAAGTATAATGGATGTATACCATACCAATTTTGCAGCAGCTGCATCACGACTTCGCGTATGATAAGCGACCACATCGCCATTTGCCTCAATTTTCTGCTCCGTGCAATCGACAGAAAACATTAGTTTCTTACTACGTTCTTTCGATGGATAATAAGTTGTTCGGTAGAAAAGTGGTACCTATAATCAATTAAAAGGTGGACCAACAAAAACAAGGTCTTGCTTTGAATTAACTATCTTTTGGATAGCATTTATGAAAAGTTGATTGAGTGAAGAATTACCTTGTTTTCAGGAACTGCTTCGACGACATATGCAGTGCTTGGAATAGGCTGATCGTTTTTAAAATCGAAGCCATACCCTTTCTCCTATAACGGAACGTTAAAAAAGTTTTTCCTTGAAATCGCAGAAATGTAGTTCGAATAAATAAAGTGCAGGGGATTTAAAAGCATCGTACCCGTTCTATTTGAATAGCTTCAAGTTCTTTTGTTAGCCATTTTTCCAGCTCTTCATGATCTGGCTTGCCAAATAAGCAGCGAGACACGCGCCTACTTCGAGTATGCATCGTTTATTCCGAACAAACTACATTTAACGAAACAATAAGGATTCCTGAAACTAAGGTTAATGAGTTCATCTGTTCAGAACTTCAAATATAATAGCTTGGAATGATAAGTGATTTCAAAATGATAAGTGATTTCAAATAATACAGTAGTGAGCATCCATACGCATTCTTCTAATAGCTTATTCGGCTATTAACTCGAATTTAGCAACTTACAGCGTTTTAATGGCATTTAGGAACAAACACAATAGATTTCAACAAAAAATATCAACTCCTATTTCTAGCTCTAGAGTTTTAAGCGTTTCTCAATGAAATAAATAACTCCAAAATATTATTCTTCCTTTATGCTCAATTGAAATATCCAACTGGACATAGATGAAGAAAAATGTATTTTATAAATCCCAAATTTGAGTCGCTGTAAATAAGCAATAAAGAACGTTATCAAAAGCTGGCAATAAAAACCAAAGAAAAGTATACAATATACAAGCACTATAAAACATGACTTTCTGTGTTAGTAAATTCATTAAAGACAAAAAAGACAATCTCTTGAAAATAGAGGATAGCGTATTAGATATAGCGTAATCAATACACCATTCTGCCCAAAGGTAATGAAATAATAAATTACAAGCAATTACATGGTGTCAATCTAATCACCGTTAATTAACTTCTCCTCATTAGAATATATATTAGCAATCTTCCCAAGTGAATGTCAACTTCGGCAATTACATGAACATACATATCCAAATAAATTAAACGAAATTTAAATGTTTTCAGATAGCCCCTTCTTATGCCTAGCGTTTGTGAACGTTCATAAATCGGCGCAAGTAGCCTCAAACTGTAAATATTTCGAAATGAAAAACCAAACACAGACCTCTCGAGCATTCCGCTCACCCTTCCAAACCTCTCTCTCTTTCTCTTTCCTTCTCTCTTCCTCTCTCCCTCGCAACCGTTAATCATCTCTCATCCACACATCCTCCAATCCACCACAACATTCTGTCATTTTGCAAGCAACTCTGCTACCTCTTCTCTCCAAATCACTCACTTCTATTACTGCAAGCCCATATCCTCAAACTTTAACAAGTCTATCTCACATTATCAATTCATTCTTTTCTGCCCTCTCATTCTCTGGCACGCACATACTCTCATGCCTTATCAATCCCTGCCTCTCCCTAAATACAGTCTATATCATATCCCATAACAGAGAAAGAGAGAGAGATACGGCAAGCCACGAAACAAGCGAACAGCCAAACACGAAACAACGAAAATTCACAAGCTGGCATAGAGTTCGCTTGCAGTTGAAACATTGCCAAAATGGTTCATGGCGGGAAGGCTACCGTAATCTCGTATTCAAATTGTCTCTTCCATTCGACGCCAAGTGTAAGTGCAGAAGTCGGAAAGGGTATCAGGAAGGGATGCCCAATTAAGCAACCAAACTATTGTTTACTTTGCTTGTTAAGTTACTAACTAGCGTTTGCTTTCGATCGATAACCCCTATCAGCCATTTGAAACACGTAATGTCATTCAGTAGTTCAGTAATTAGTCGTTGTCACTATCCGTCGTACTTCTTGCGCTCAAATAAGTGTCGGAGTAATTTGTGAGGGCAGAGCAATGTCACAAATGTTCACCGTTAGGTTTCCTTCTTCCCGACATTCGACATGATCAATATGCTTGTTATGAAACATTTGAAGTTATGTTAGTGAATGCGGACAGACGGCAAATTTAAAGATAGTTTATTCTCATTTTGGTAGTTCACCTAAACATAAAGTCAAGCCGAGATTGAGTGAGGTGACATACACTGTTTACTTTTTATTCCCTACCGCTCATGTTATCGCAAAGGTATTGCCATCTTTCTTGTTAGGGATTTGGCTTTGGTACAGATGACTGTACTATTCATTTGACACCAATTTAAAAAAAATTTTTTTCTTCTGTGGATTTTCTTCCGTTTCCTACTATGCTTTACCTATCACTTCAGGTAGTTTCTGTTTCGTGAATTAAATGGGCGTTTCAGTCATCATTCTGTAGTCTCAATAATTTTTCTTGTTATTTTAATGTCAGCAGATTCAATTTCAAACTCGATGGTTAGAAGATCGCAATGATTTCTTTTTAGTGAAATTGTTGTTGGCGCTTGTTATTCCGTGAATATCACATTGATTGATTGATCGATTTTTTTTTTCATCACTGCAGAGTGATATGGTCCATTACACTTTTTATGAGTAATTATCGATTTTCATTGTTTGGATTAACTGCAACGCGAAAGGGTGAGTTTCGTCTCTTTGGCATCGTCCAACGATGTGGTGACCTTAGCTATCCCTAAATCATCATATTCGATCGGACCTGTTCCCTTTTTTCTCCAGTCCGATTCTTTATAAACAAACTTTACAATGGGCTAGATGTGATAATCTATGTCGGCAAGAATGCTTATGAAAACGATACTTCGCCCATTAGCTCTCCAAGGCGAAAAAAAAAAACTTCGGCCATATACATTCTCAAAAGGTGTCCGCCAACCTTTTGGAAAGTCTTCTGAATTTGTCGTTAAACCGTAGAAATCATGGTTTTTTTTTTTTGCTCAACTGGCATTACACGTTATGCCGTTTCTGGGACTAATTTTTTAACTTGGTTAGAACGTTTGGGAATTCTTAGAGTAGTTTTTTTTGGAACTTAGCATTAGTTATTACAAGTTTTTCTCCAAAGACTTGGAAAATTAAATTAAAAAATTTCCTTCTCCCTAAATCCTAAATGAAAATGTTAGCGTAATTCGACGTACAGTGAAATCTATGCTTTTTTTGTTGATCACAATGGGAACAAATTATTGAGAAGCTCGATGGGAAAGAGGGCAAGTGACATTGTCCAAGTGACCATTAGCCTACAATTCATGCATCATTGACGAGCCATTGTGGGATGTCTTAATTATCGGAAAAATTCAACTTTTATGGAAAAATGTGAATAGAAAGGTTTAGTTCACAAAATATCATACCGCTCAAATCTTTTGCGTGCAGGGTTGTAGGAATTAGACTGCAGTATGCTGAATCAAAGTGTTACGATATCAAGGTGCTGTAATAGTTCAAAAAAGGAAAGTCAGGCACCATGTTGAGCTCCTGATATTAGTGGTAGGACGGGGAAAAGACATTTACAATATAAGGCCGCAAAGGAAAGTCCACCATGATGACCTCTGCCAAAATTACAATGCATAGTGGCATGGCAATAAATTTTCAGTATACTATGCTGTAATAATGTGGGCAATTCATGCAAATTGATTTTTAATTGCCTGTTTCAGATGACATATTAACTGATTTGTGGGGACACGGGTGGTTGCATAAGAAGTGATGATTCATCCAGCTGCGCGTTTAACACTATGCGTGTAGTGCATAACGCAGCAAAAGTTACAGAAGTACGAGATTTTGGGAAATAATAGGTTTGAAGCTTTTGGACTAAAAATCAGGGTGGAAAACTTTTTTCTTTGTGAAATTTGAATTTAGTGGTGATTAATATAATGATGAAGAGGGTTAGCCTTAAGTGAAAGGCTTCAATCCAATCATTTAGAGATCATCTTTTCTTGTATTGAAGGTATCTATGTTTATGCCGCTATAGCTTGGGGAAACGGTTATAATTAAACCACCTACTTTTATCTTCTGATTCGTTGCAGAGCTTCTTTAGTATTTCATATTTCTCGGGAGTGAATTAGATGATGAGATTCTTTTTAGATTTCAATTTTCTGCTGCTTTATAGGGTTTAACTTCCGAAGATTCCTTCCGCACCTTATTTAATTTCAACTAACGTGCCTTTAGTGTAATCAACCGGTCTTTGATCTTGTTAAACATCTTCAAACAAATGCATTGGAAGAGATCGGAGTAAAACTTGTTCAAATTACGGCAATGAAAGAAAACCCGCAATCTTCGAAATATTTCGGGCACTCACAATAAAATTTGCTAAGAAAGAAATTATCGTCTAAACCAATTTAAGTCACGTAGTTTTCAAAATGTCTAAATTTCCAAATAACTATAAAATCAAACAAATGTGGAAAATTGTTTTTCTTTGAACTTATTTAGTTCACATAACTGATCCGGACTTTCTTTATGCTAGTTTAATAAAAATACTGAGTGTGAAATTGCTTTTCACACTCAGAAAAAAGAAAAAGTTGAAAGAAGTAATGCCGCATTATGCGTTATGCATATTCATCCAGAATTCATTCACAGTCTACCGCAAAGTTCTTTTTTCTTCTGCAGCGGGTCTCCTTAGGTGTAAAGCAGTGAATTGTTTAAAGCCTTTTGCTGTATTCTCACTTCTTCACAATTCTTTCTTTCGAGTGGTTAGCGGTCACAAAAGAAGACTCATCTTAAATTATTGTCAGAAAATTTACAATTCCAAACGACCCATCAATCAAGAAGTTCACTTCCTGCTTAAGTGTTGGCGCTCCACTGCAGCATTTTGTGATTAAAACTCTTACCGCCATTATTGACTGCTCCCTGCATATTTATCAGTCACCACTTGTCACAGCGGCTTAACGTTTCAACCTTAAAAAAAAGATGCTGAAATTTGTTGGGAATTCCCCCAATTCAGCAGGAATGTTGGATTGATTTTTACTGTTTGAGGACAGAGCATTTGTTTTAATTAATCGAAACTTACAAATTAGCACAACATTAGCACATCTTCAGTGATTTACCATCCAACTAATTATTTGAATCGAGATTTATTTCGAAATTTCGGTAATCTTAATAAGGGTTGATCTTAATAAGGTCTGATTTTGTGTTTTCCTTCAGTTCAACAGAACATTGCTAACCAATAATTTAGGCATCAGAATTGTTATCTTGCTAAATTAACATAAGGATTATGAATACTTATCGTGCAACTTGTATTTTAAAATTATTATCCTAGAAATTATGAACCTTACGGCAATGCAGGTAAAAGTGACAGAGGTATGAAAGCGGATAAAGGAGAGCACGAGCTTCATTTATACAAGAAGATTTGTGTGATAAGCAGGCATATGTTTAATGAGCTGTATATAAATATTGGTTGTAGAAAGCGGTAGCTTTGTTGTACAATAGGTAGTATCGAGTTTAGTGGAGCGGATAGAGGATACAGACATATACAGTACATTTCTTGATGAAAGTTAATGAATATACTCTACTAATGTCTAATGAACTGGTTTCTTTATATTAATTAGGCCGCTCAAAGAATGACTAAACTAGGCATGATATTTTTTGGATACTAATTCAAAACAAACAGTGCTAATGATTAACCGAAAATGGTAGAATAAGGCTACCTCTTTTTTCTGGTTAAACTCTGGAAGACTAACTGCTAGTAAAGGAAATGAGGATCAAGAACTCGATTTCAATGTGGAACATATTATGGTATATTTGTTTACTATCTTGGGACAAGACTTCTTTAGTTTCTGTTATTCTGCACTGCATATTCCAGTGATTTGTTTATAATTTAGCTCGAGAAACGACGAAAATAACAATTTGCTACGACCTGAGGTTGACCTTTGACCTGCCGTGTAGATGAAATCTTTTGTTCTTTTCGGCTCCTCCGCACTTGAATGTGTTTTGTCCTCAACACCTCATTTGCATAATTAGAATATGGAATATGGCTGAAAAAGCGAGGAAAGCTCGAAACCTGCAAAGGGTACCTATTGAAAGCGGTCCTTTTGATGCTCCTTAATAATAGCTTTTTCGTTTAACAGCATGTCTTTTTATGCAAATAAGCTTCATGGAAGCTTATTTTGGTGATGGTGAGTCTACTCTTGTATATCCTCGTGGAGAAAGGTTATTTTGGTGAGTTTTTTTTTTCACTCATCTACCTGTTCATTATTCATTTCGTTTATCTTCTCAAGCGTTTTGCTCTTTTTTTCATCGTAATTCACTAAGAAAACACAATTTCGTTGTTTTTTTTTTCGTTCACTCATCATTTATTATCCTTGATTACCGTTTGTTACTAATATCATTTGGACAAAATTAATATTTGCACAGCTTAGGAAATGTTTTGAAGTGAAGTTGAATGCCTCATCAACCATTCATTCACTCTAATTCCTACACATTTTTCTGGTTTATGGTCATCATAAGCAAGTGTTTCAGCCAGCAATCCTGTCTTTCGCTTTCTATTCGATCCATAATCGAATCAAACCTGTCTTATTCATTCACTTGTCTATCCCTTCAGTTTCATTTCCACTTCTTAAACAAATGTTTTTAACATTGTGCGGCGCCCTGATGACTAAAATAATATGCAAGGGACGGTTGCTGATTGGCTTCAATGATTTATTTGCTCACTATGCATTAAAACAGCTCACTACTATTCAAACCTGGAGCAAAGATGCTTGTTTCACTTTTCTGAATTTGTTGGGTTTAATGGTAAAAGACAAGACATCAAGCAGAACAGTGTCACCTAGGGAGAGGGAAAAAAGCATAAAATTGTCCCTATGATAGGATATCTCTAATATCAATCAAAATATGAGAGTATAATTTTGCGTAGTATATTTCTCATTTCTGTACCACTTCTTTGCATTCTCAGTTTGTGTACGATGAGTAATTAACTTCGAGGATAAACCCAATTTGCGCTACAAACTCGCCCAGCGTTTGTAAGTTCTATGATGTAGCCGCCATCCACCGCAAATTATTTGTTTTATTTGACAATTAATTTTAACAAAATGAGAACGCTATGCTATTTCTCTGTTGCGCCTGTCAGAGCCATTTTGAATGGAGTTGATAAATATTCAAATGTCATTGATGTATGAAAGCGAGAGGCAAAAAGTTTGGAATTTTGAATTCAAGATAGCTAATTGTAAGTCTTAGAAGTCCAGAAACTTTCTCGTGCTCTCTGTCAACAGTTCTGATTAGTGCTTATCAGCATAAGTTATTTCGATGCCCGTTGGAAGAGCATGATAGCAAATTTATCAGAGGAAAGTAAACAGTCCATTATTATTCCTTTCCGTCTCTACACCGTTCTCCCTTTCTCATCCGTAATTTTCAGGGCAGATGCTACCGTTTTTGGTCATTGTAATTTAGCTACTTCTAAGTAATACTTGAATCACTTTGCTGCTAGTCAAGCCATTCATATCTTCCGGAACACACTGTATTTCTGTTCATTGCGCTATTTTCCAGTTAATGGGAAAAAAGATCGGGAGCTGCAATCATTATATCTGTAATCGAGTATTTCATTTAATGTATATGGGAGCCCTCGATTATGTCTAGCAATTGACGATTCGCATTATTTCA